TTCTTTTTAGCAACATCATATGAGCCCTTTAATTCATTATAATTCTTGGTCTCATTTTTAACTTATATTTAGTGTATTATTATTTTTATTATTATTCTTTTTTTATTTTACCTTTCCTCTTTTGTACAGCACAGTGGTCAACTCTTGTTGTATTTGTTTGTGCTTTATAAGTAAATAAATAAATGAATGAAAATAAAAATAAATAAATAAGCTACTAAAGTCAAGTGCTTTCCATTCACCCAAGAACAACATTTACGTTAATAACCTAATTAAGTGTCACACATAACACCAAATATGCAATATTTCGAACTGGAAGTAAAATAAAGCAAAAAATAAAAATAACTCAAAAATTTGTTATAATATACTATCCAGACTAAGCTACACAAAGCAATTTAAGGTGCAAGTTATACTATAACTCACCTAAAGACAAATGTGTAATGTTACATTTTACTTTCAAGCCTATTAGAAAGAATAAGTATATTTTACCTCAAAAACTAAAACATCAGCTTCAGCATCAGTTATAGTCTATCCACGGATTTCTTTGCCGTCGATTATAGCTTTGGCACCGACAAAAATTGCCTTTTTCCCTTGTTTGCGAGCAGCTTCAATTTGAGGCCAAAGTCTTTTATGTGTGTCTTTGTCTTTCGTTGTTAGGTCCTCTCCAAACCTTAACTTTCTGGACTGAAGATATTCTGATCTCTTCGAACTGTTCCACAGAAGCTCCTTGGCTGATCTCACTGTAGACCTCAAAATGACCGGTCAAACCTTCTCGGCGCTTTTCCTCCCAATGCGATGAACAATGTCAGTGTGATGAGGAAAGTTATCTCCAGCCTCCGGCACCACAGCACGGCATATGTCAATCATTCGTTGTTTGACATTCTCTCGTTCTTGCTCTGCTAGACCATAAAACCTTAAATTCCATCTTCTTTGGTATCTTTCAGCTTAATTTACTCTTTCTTCCAACTCAGATATTCTCTTCTGGTGTTCTTCGTTTACCTCCTTGAGAATCCCAATGTCTTTCTTAACATCATGCATCTCTTTGAAGAGAAATTCAGTAGCTTCCTTTAAAGAGTTTATACATTCTCTGTTTTGTTTGATCTCATGGTGTAGGGTTTCAGTATTTTGGTTAATTTTCTCCGCCAATATTTGCATGATGTTATTCTGTACCTCAGAAAGCGTTGGCTCTGATTTACTTTTCTTGGGATCTGGTGTGCATGGCTTCGGGTCCGGGACCGGAGTTAGCTCTGGACTACTGCAGCGAGCGTAGGAATGTGCCTCCATGACTTCCATTTTTTGATTTTCAGCATGGTCAGCAGAACGATCTTTTCCAGAACCAGATTTTCCTTTGTCTGTATTTTTCCCTTGTCTCCTTTCTGCCATTACAGCATACAACTGAAGGGGAGAGGTTTCCAACTATCATTGAACTATGTAACTTTCGGTCGTCTGTAAATCTTTGTAAATAATTATTTCTAAATGTTGACGGTTATTAATTTACACATTTGATGCTCCATTATTCAGTGCCTTATTCTGTATATCATCTAAAAGCCTGTAAAGTTGTTCAGAGGGTGCGAAAAACGAATGCAAACTTTAACAACAAAATCCTCCATCTGCATCGGACGCCATCTTGGCTCGCCCCCAGCAAAGGTGTCTGAACGTGAGGGATTGTCCTGGATGAGATCGTCAGGTGAAAGGTCATCATGTGGATAATTGTATTTATGGCTAAATTATTATTTGGTCGTTTGGTCTTGTACTGTATCGTGTACCTTGTCAGTGTCGTGCGAGCAGCTGAGTCCTTACCCATCTTCAAGAAACGGCTAAAAACACATCTGTTCCACCTTTATTTGACCCTCTAACTCTAGCACTTTCTATTCTATTTTAATTCTACTTTATCTATATTTATCTTCTTTTTTTAATAAAAAAAACAACAACAAAAAAACGAACAAACAAACAAACAAACACTAGCTTTCTATTTTTCTATTATCTACTTGTTTTTCTTTGTGCGTGTGTATGTATGTATGTATGTGTATGTGTGTGTATATATATATATGTATATGTGTGTATGTATGTGTGTGTGAATG